AAAGGTGATAGGATGCGACAAAATCTGGCTAAAATTTAATCAGAAAGTTGACGAAGATCCAAAAGCGGGTGTTGTATATTTGTTAAGAACTAAAATAGCTTATTTTGATTTTGAAGGATTAAATTTTCATATAAATAATATGTGAGGGACAATGAGTGAAATTTTTCCAATGAGAACTACTCCTATTTCCGTCCAACCAAAAACGGAGACGAATTAGCAACCCAACTACCTACGTGTTAGTAGCTCGGTGCCGCTCCGCTCTTCCCCGCCTAGACCTTTCTCTTCCAATTTCTACTTTGCATCTGTCTCTCATTTTTATCACAATTGTTTGTTGAGCTCCCTCTGACACTTTCCTGTAGTACATACTGCGCTCCATATTCTTCGCTTCTCACATCCTAGATCTTTTATTGGTCAATCAAATTTTGATTAGTAAAATTTCAATCAGTTCTACGCTAAATACATCATGCCCGAAATACACCCTCAGCCGACCCTGAAAGCAGTGACACTAACCCATGTTAGATACCAAAAGGGCGATCAATTAGGCCATTTTCTGGCATGGGTTTCATTAATCCCAGTCTTTATCAGCTTAGGTGGCTTTGTCTCTCACTTCATCTTTCGCCGGGAGCTGCAAGTGATGTTCTTCGCTTTTGGCCTTCTGATTTCCCAATTCGTTAACGAGGTCATCAAGACATCCGTCCAGCAAGCCCGCCCCGAAACTTGTGCTCTCCTTGAGATATGCGATTCTCATGGCTGGCCCTCTAGCCACTCTCAATACATGTTCTTTTTTGCACTCTATCTTACTTTGTTGACATATAAGAGAATTGGGATCTTGGGTAGAAACCAAATGTCGGTTGTGCTTCTCCTGGTTTGGCCTTCGGCGATCTTGACCATGTATTCGAGGGTGTATTTGGGGTACCATACTGTTGCCCAGGTCTTAGCTGGGGCTGCTTTGGGAACTTTCCTTGGTGGGCTGTGGTTTTGGGTGGTCAATTCTGGCCTCCGAAGTTTCTTTCCGGTTATTGAGGAGAGCGCTTTTGGGAGGTTCTTTTATGTTAAAGATACTTCGCATATACCCAATGTGTTGAAATTTGAGTACGAGAATGCCAGGGCCGCCAGAAAGCATGTTTCTTATAAGCGAGCTGATTGATCATTGACTGACCAATTGGGTAAGTCGCTGGTTTGATATGTAGCTGTTGAAATTTTGTTTGAATTATGGCTCATGCCGAGTTCCTTTGGTTGGATGTGTTTGGGAAAGTTGATACATTCATATTGAACCTTCTGACTTCTGTTCTGTGGCGTTACATTAGATCTTTTATATGCAAAAATCTGCACAGATTCGTTTCAGTGTGGTTTTCTTATTGTGAAAATGAAGGGCGTACAGTTATAACCATCATCAACCATTGTAATCAAATTGTCTTGTTTTAAGTTAGATTGAAGTTGAAGTATTTGATTATCAGAGCCATGTTGAAAACTGGGCATATAGTAGAGATTCTGACAATAATGGTGTTATGGTTGAAGAGTTGTGGACGGATTGAGGTTTTTATTGAATATTGAGTAGCAGACGTCCATATTCTTAGATCTTTATACACAGGTATGTATATCTGGATTGTAGGGTTAAGAAAGTGAAATTTTGTGTGATGTAGTTATGAGCATCAGATGGAGAACTTCCTCTTTTCCCAGGTATTGATAAATAGGTTGCAAGCTTTCTTCTGATGTTTTTTTTTTCAGTATAAAGTCACTTGGATGCATGTAAATTCTGGGTAGCTTGATACTTGGACATAGATGATTTGATGAGCTTAATGAAAATTAATCAGGTCTTTGACAGTTGGATATTTGCAGAGGAGAATGAAATGTTTTACCTACTCAGATGCTGAGCTGTTTTACTTATTTGGTGCAAGTATTAAATCCTGTGATGGAATACCAATTTATTCTCCTGGTTGGTCTCAAGTCTAAAGTCATGCAATTTATGTGTATCTCTACTCACAAGTCTCTTTGATTTCAAGTTGAGCCAGTAAGACATCCACGTAAATTGAAACTTTTAATTAGAAGTTAGGTAGCATAATGGTGTGAAATATCCTTGTATCTTTTTCATTTGTGATGAGCTCTAAATTCTTTCAGCTGATGTGCTATGTATTTATCAGTCATCTCATTTTGCATCACTTGTAACAGAGAATGATCATAGCTAAGCACCATCATACCTGCCAAATTGCTACAATTTCCAGGGATAATTTGTATGACTTTGACTTATGTTTGTTGTGTTATCTTTGCACTTATCCCTGGACCTTGTTGCACTCCCCCAAACCCCCCCCCCCCCCCCCCCCCACCAAAAAAAAAAAAAAAAACCACCCAAGAAAATGAAAAGTTGTTCTAAGGACCTGCTGAGCTGATGATGTAAAGTGATTGTTTTTCATTTTGCCCCTTTTGTTTCATCTTTCTAGGGAAAAAGAAGCTCCCAAATGTAAACATTTCTTCTTTACTTATGTTGGCTAAGAAAATGCTTATTCTTGTGTAACCATTTATGTGTCTGATTCTTGCCTTTACGAGGACATGGTCTTTGAGGCTTACTTTGACTTCAGAAGTCCGCTTGGTCAGCTTTTTATCATGGCATAGAACTGATAGCTCTAATTTCATTTATAAATTGTTAGAAAGATGGAGCCATTTATGTCATGTTTATGCTGGTGAACTACAATCAAGTTTTAGATATGCTTTGGATGTATTGGTGAAACGTTTTGATCTTGGTGGTATCTTTGTTTTCTTTGCCAGGTGAAGTGCTTCATGCTTTTGATATAGGATTTTACTTTTGCTGGACAATGTGACACAGCACAGTAGCTAGTTCTTTGCTGTTATTTTGTGCTCAAGGCTACTATTTGGGGGCTCGCGATTTAAGCAGAGCTGGACAATGTCCTATTTAATACTTTTAGGGAAAATATTAGAGTAATTTCAGATAATATGTACTGTAAAAGACTTGCTGCAGGTGACATGAATGACTAATTCTTAACTAGATTTTCTTTTCCTTCCACCAGTTAAAAGTATGGGCAATCCAAGGGCAACTTATTGCAGTTCATCAGCATAATTACATCTTTTTGGCTGATATTTTTTGAATGCGAGTTTAGTTTCTCATTATGAATTCCTATCCCCACAAGAGATACAAAGTTTGTACTGTACTGCCTTGGCAGTATGGTGTCCGTATCATCCTGAATCATTAGACATTTGGTCTGGCAAAGCCTTCTTTAAGAATCAAGTGATGAACATTTTATGCAGGGATTAGATTAGATGTTTGGCCTAAGCTCACAAAAACTCTCAAATTTGAAGATATTCTATAGTAGCATGTGATTAGATTAGGTGTTTGGCTCTCACTTTAGAGAGTAGAAAGAATGTCAATTTTCAATAAGCATGTGGAGAGTGTGGCGCATACAGCAGATGCTCCATCAGGTTCGTAGCACGGGCCTGCTCTAAATGCTTATACCTACTAAGCAAATGTACATAATATGTTTAATGTTTACAATAGGGTTGTGCATCTTGACCCTGGCGATCTGAAAAACTTGATGATCCTATTTGGATTAGATCCGAATTAGTGGATATTCGATCCATCAGGTTATACGCAGATCGGATCACATTTGGATCAATAAGTTATCCAAATCGGATTTGGATATCATATTCTGTGATCGCGGATATTCGATCCGGTTGCATAATATTTATTATTTTTAAAAATTTTAATATATTAAATCCACTTATTTATGATAGTTTATTTCTTGCTTCTTATTTTTTTAATCTGTGTCCTCCTTCGAAATAGACTTTTTTTGGCGTATGGTGTTAAGTTTTAAAATGTATTGTCATATATTTTGTGGATAAAAAATTATAGATGAGATACTACTGAATCTTATTCGTTTGAATCAAAATACGGGAAAAAAAAATACAAAAGTTGCTTTCTATTGCAAAAAAAAAAGATTATTTTCAACTAAAAACTCTTTTTCTATGAATGAAAACTCATATGTAATGTAAGTACACAAATTGCTTGCATGATATTTCTGAAACTTTAATACATTTAAATTTCATTTTGTTTTTGAAACTTATATATATTTTAAAAAATTTTAAAAATCAAATACAGATCAAATATTTGATTGATCCGATCCGCACAATATAAATGATAGTTGTACGTATCAATGTCAAACATTAATACTCTCTTTTTATTCTATTCTCATTATCATATAAATTCAAATAAATTCTTATACAACTGTCAAAAAGTTTTAAAAAGGATTATCTTAAACATATTATTATTCGCCAGAAATTAGAAAATAACTATTCTAAACATAGACAAAATCATTATTATAAAAAAATATAACCAATCATTAATTAAACTCACAAATATCCTAAAAATTGGTGATTTGGTAAGAGAATATAGGAGGATAAATTTGACATTTTAATGTGTTGGTCATTCTAGGATGAAGTTGAAGGGGGCTTTCTAAAATTTTTCGAGGAATGAATAATTCCAGAAAAATGTTGAAATGTGCATTTCAGTCCTTTCCAACTTAAATCGTAAATAACAAACATGAAAATGGAATAAAAAGATTTGAAAAGACCTTTTTATTTCAAGCCATTTTTGTGCACCAACGAGGAGTTAATAGTCTTATTGGTTCTAATTATGACGTAAATGTATTTGAAAGGAGTTTGTAAAGAATCTTTTTCTTTTAAGGAGTATATTTAAACCAAACTTGCCTGTGATATTCTGATTTTCGACAGTCGCAATTCATTCTGCTAATTGACAGATTACTCGACTGCAAATTGAGGTTTAAGAAAGATTAAATAATTTCCAACTGGAAAAGGCAAATTGTCACCTCACATATAGGAATTGACAATTTCCCTCCAGTTGAGAAATTGTTCACCGCGGGAAGCACGTGAGCAAGAAAGAAAGGGACAAACTGTACCGTCGTCACCACCGCCCAAATGTCACGTGTTCGGGTTTTAAACCTCACATCTGGGCTGTTTGTTTGCACTTTGCACACAGTTCAAATATTACCTCTCAGTCTTAAGCGTGTCGCTGTCTGTGCGTTATGGGCACAGTTTTTCGGTCACTCTCTTCAATTCACAGCACAGCAATTAGCTATTTCCCTTGATCCCTTCGTCTTTCTCCTTCCATATTCAAATCTATATACTACTAGGGCGGTCAGCTTTGCCGGGTCCAAAATGTGGCAAGTTTTTCTAGCAGCAGCAGCAGCAGCAGGATCTGGGATCCTAGCCAAGAAACTTATTATAAACACCAGTGTCGCTGAACCCAACATTGATTTCAAACCAGATGACCAAAAAAATCATGTTCTCAACGACCAAGAAAGCTTCAACGAGTCGTTACTACTGCCTCAAGATTCAATTTTTTCTAGCAATGATGGTTTCCAAGATGACTACAATGATAATGCACAATGTGAAGTGTTGGCTGATGGATCAATCTTCAGGTTTTCAAGTACTCCTGGGCCTTCTTGCTCTGTGATGGGGTCCAAAAATTTGAGGAAAAAATTGGGGTGTGGGTCCAGAAGGGTGAAGGAAAATGCTGAGGGTCTCGGGAGAAATGCTAAGGGAAAAGAGGGGAAGAAATGTGAGGTTGTGGGTTGTGGGAAACAAGGGTGGGTAGTGGAAAAGAGAAGTGGTAAAAGATTCTCTGTTTGTTTGAAGAAAAGGAGGACTAGCAAAAATATTACTGGAAAGTGCGAATCTTGTGCTTCAAAAGGTTGGATTAGAGTGCTTTATTGTTTTTTATGTGTGTTTTTACGTTTATATATTAGCCAAAAATGTCTACTTCATCATCATGGCTTGATGCTAATTGCATTAGTATTTTCTTTATGCTATCACAAAAGTAAATAAGAAGAGCTACTAGTAATTGTCTTTTTTCAGTTAGGTAATTTCTTATGTTGCATTTTCCTTTGGTACATATGTTCTATTTTCATATTTAAAAATTGAATGTTGCACGACGTTGTCTGCAATTGATAAGTCGTATCCTCAACTCTGATTGTCGGTTAATATATCAGCTCTCTAAATATCATTTTATGAACATGTTCTGAAGCTAATTGTTGTTTTTTCCAAGGGAAGAAACTTGCTAGTAGGATGTTTTGTAATTTCAAGCATGACGACACAGGTTTAGTTGAATTGCATCTTTCTATAGCAGAACAAGAACTTGCTGTTAAATGTTCAATATCCTGCACCTGCATTTTTCAATTAAGAAACTTGCCATGAAGAATGACAGCCTTGTCTAAGTGATAATCTGGTAGTTCTCTTCAAGCAATTCAACCACTGATTATAACATCTATTTCCTGTGGTATTGCTGGTACTACGTAATCACGTTAAGAAGAGAAGAAAATGAGGCTTTTACCAGAAAGCACTTTATATCTTGTGACTCCATGCACATGATCTGGTTCATTGGTTGAAGTTATACTATCATCTGGATCTACTAAAATGTGTTTAATTATTTGTCTCATCTATATATCTGGAACCGCTATTACTGTGTCCGTGTTATGATTTTCAGGCAACTCATTTTTCAACTGGGGCTTAAGCATTGGTATGATGTATATGATGTCGGCTGGGAAAGCTGAAATTAGTAGGTTGAATAACTCCATGGATGAAACTGCAAAACTTGTTAAAGAATTGAAGGCTGAGCTTTCCAGGAGAAAAACCTTGCACAACCGGTATAGTTCAAATTTAAGAACAGAAGTTGAAACAAATCAAATTAACTGTAGGGGAATGCTTGCTTATGCAACTGCTACGACCTCATGTTCTGAGAAGGCTGATGCTGGTAAAGTAATTGATTCTCTTGTGGCTGAGGAAGGTGAATGTTCTAGTAGTGTTCTTACAGAAGAACAGCCACCTGACTTGTCAGAAATGGATCATCTGGAAGCCGAGTTTGAGTCTGAATTGCAAAAACTTCCTTGGTGTTTCACGGAAGGTTCCAGATTGAATGAAAGAGCTGATACATCTGAGGTAGTTTGCTTCTTCTATATTTCTATACCATTTTCTGTAGATATGACTGTTGCATTTGTTCAGAGTCTACTCCATCCATTGCCCCTTAATATAATCACCAAAGCCATCGTCAAGGACCGTCTTGTTCTCCCTTTCAAGCTTTGGTATATTTGACCACTTATTCCCATGCTCTTCATGATCCCTAGGTTTAACAATTGAATGATTCCACTGAGTTCTGTTCAGGATCTGTTTCATATGTGTATCTGTCACTCAAAATGATTCCAAACCTGCTTCGGTATTGGGTTTTGCACTCTTCGCATTTTACTAATGTCCCGTACGGGTTTTCCTTGCCATTTCAAAGCTTTCTGTCAAAAATGAAAGCCAGCTGTGGTTAGGTTAGCAGGGGTGGCTTTCTTGACATTCATTTCATCTGTGCAAGCAGGATTACATCAAGCAGAGAGGTTGTTTCAGTTGGGCTAGGATGAAGTAACCTTGCTTTCATACTGAAGTAGCCTTATTTGCTCAGCAAAATCTAATGCACCATAAGTTGTTGCCAAAACGGTGATAGCATAAGATGTTTGTTCCTCTTATGCTCTTGGTTTTTCTTTTTCTGTTTAATCAGTCATTATCCAGCAAAACTCTGCTGATATTTTAAGATTTTTATGCTGTTTGACCGGGAATACTACATGTGCACAGGCTCATGTTTTGGCCAGAGAACTTCACCGAGCAGATGACAAGATTCACCAGATCAGAGCTTGTCCAGAGTTCGATGGAATTTCACCATCAGAGCTGGACCAGAAATTAAGTCATTTGCTCATTGAACAGCAGGAAAGCCAAATTGTGCAGCTAGAGTCCGAACTGCACCAAACACATTCCAAGCTTTATGAGAAAGAAGCAGAGCTGCAAGCACTCAAGGATTGCGTGAGACGCCTTACTGATTTTTCTCTGGGAAGTGCCTCAGGCAAGAACATCACTATAAGTATTGCGACTGTGTTTGTTGAGCTTGTGCCATTTACTTTGTACAAGTTACTCCGTTCATTTTTAACTGTAGCCTATGCTAATTCCTGCCCCACTTTGCCAGATGAAGAGACTGAGGTCCAAACGAAAGATGACAAAACGAGACAGGGGGACCAAGAGATGAAACCCGGACCGGAGTCGTCAGCAAAATCAATCGTGGGCATGAAAAGAGCCATGGACTTCGAGTAGTATGATATGATAGTTTCGCCAGATGAAATATCTTCTTCAGGGGAGGGAGCAAGTGAACCATCATGATCATCCGATCGTCGAGAGTTTTGAGATCTGTGTCGGCCATGGCATTAAATATTTGGGTTCCTGGTACACATCAACCGTTTTAATGCTGAAAATCCACCTCACATGTACAATCCCCCAATCCCAGGAAAGAAATTATTTGGAAAATGGGGGATGGCCGTTATACTTAGTTATCAAATTGTGCAGTATCCTTTCTTGCATGGACCATGATGGTTCACTTTACACCAAAAAAATAGACTACCATTAACATCTAACCAGATTGTAACATACTACTTAATAAAATGTTTTTCTAGTGTTGTTGGGTTGATTTTTAACTTTTATTGAGGCGGATGATTCTTGATTGACTTTTGCGACCCTTTTGCAGGCCATCTGGGTCAAGCTCTTTATTCATGGCAAGAAAGGATTCTTGAAACCTTGGTTGACTTTTTTTGTGTTCTTGCCTCCTGTCTTGTCTGTGTTTTTTCTCCACTCAAGACACCAGTACTTCGAAGTTCAAATTTGTATTGCATGTGCATGCTGAATCATGAAACGGGCTGTTTTTGGGGTTGTCACTTGCACCTGTGGCCTGCACATGTAAATCTTGGTGGTTGCTTAATTACAAATGGCGTTGCTTGTGCCAATGTGCAGCCAGGAGAGGCAGAATGGGAAAATGACCGGTCCTAGGGAGCCATGTTTTGCTGTTGGAAATTGGAACTTTTCCTCCTTAAACCACCGCCTATTTTGTACTCTCTAGCTCTGACTCTCCTGCTCCATGATAAGAGAAAGCTGCAACATGTTATTTCTAATTATTTCATAAGGGGTAAATGCAGTACTATGCTTCCTCTATTTCAATTTTTTAGTTCAATTATTTAGTCATATTTCGGGAATTCAATTTTTAAAGAACGGTGGTTTGATTGTGATATTTGTATTTTTTTTTTTCAATTTTACTTCGTCAAATTTAAATTTTAAATTTGAATGGTAACATGCATACGATTAGAAAGAATGCCTATATTGAAACAAAAAATTAAAAGTGTTTTGATTTTTTCAATATGATAAATATTTTGGGACATATCAAAATAAAAAGTGTGATACTTTCAACGGACGGATGGAGTGAGTATAAAATTATCCTATGGCTAGGACGCCAAAACCTATAGAATATGGAATACCATTATTACTAGCAAGTCAGAATTCCATGGAACAACTATTGGTCAACAAGCATTGTGTCAAAAGAAAAAAAAAACTATTGGTCAAGCATGACGCAACAAGATCGTCAACGAGTAATAGGAAAGCGAGGCGGAAGATGAACCAGTCACCGAGACGGTAGATGCGCTTGCGAGCCTTGCATTAGTTAAAAGGGCTTGTAAATTCACCAAAATACAATATTCTAACCCTTTGAATAGAAGAATGTTAATAAAAGGGGAAAAAAACCCCTTTAACACCGTTCAAAGTAATACTGGGTTTGAACCAAACTTAAAAATGAAAATAACCAAGGGCTAACTGCAAAAGATATGAGCTGAAAAACTTTCTCTATGCTCTTGAAAAATGGACATTGATGATTTTGCATATAGACATGAAAAAGAACGTTATATTTATCCAATATATATAGCGGTGGCTAGATCAATTGCAGTGGTGATTGAAACGCTATTGGTAGTGATGCCATGTGACTAGATTAAACAAATACTAGCATGGAGAAATGGATTAGAGATTCATTTGGTATTTTTTGTTGACACAATTGCAATTTAAGTCATTAATAACAATTGACTAATGCGATGGGTTTACATGACAAATATTTGGCTATTCAAAGGGAGCTATATTTCAACAAATTATGGGGTTTGTTGTGTAATTTAGAAACCTATAACTAAATGTATCGAATCAAATTGCGAAAGAGTACTTTGGACTTTTAGACACAAAACTCTTGGTTTTTGTAGGGTTTGGCAAATACCAGAGTGCCTGCTTAGAAACCATATCAGAGAAATAACTTGCTCTTTGAAGGTATTCCCGAACACAACAGCCTCTCTCCTTATGGGCTTTCAAAAGTTCAAGGGACTTTTATCACAAGAGCAAATTATAACAGGGCTATGATGTTCTCAGCAACACGCAGCTATAAGGATCTCTCGGCCTGTCATATGGATAAGAACACTCTGAATTTTTATTGATAGTTTTCACTGCAAGGCACATTTTGTAATTTAGCCAAACTAAGTAGCAGAAAACACTACTATCCCTAATGTCATTGAAATCAAGGATAATTGACTCTGCAGGTCCCCTAATAAAAGTAACAACTGGATTTGTGGTTGTTAAAAATTTAGGTCCCATTTAGATTGCTATTCTTTGAAATCTTCTGTAGAAAAATATATTATAATAATTTAATTTATACGTAGTAAAAAGATGATTAAAAATGTGAAAACTGCAATCCTTAGGTTTAGACGGCCCACGTATCATGTCATGTGGAGTCCGGTATAAATGGATTTAATGCCTGCAGGCAATAGGTCTGCAAGTTAATGTCATCAGTGGAGGCACAAAATGAAGCAGGGCCTGGGGTTTTCTTGAATTGAATGCAAAATATGAGGCAAAAAATCAAGAAATTTGCTTTGCGAATGGCTAAATGACGTTACGTTTTTGGCATGGCATCACATTTAGCACTCGCATTAACCAAGAATGCACAGTTCCCTGACTAATGATATTTTAATGCCAGTTGGTCGCTACTTCTCAACGACAACATCAACCTAAAACTTCCTTGATTAGAAGTTCTGTCTTATTTCCATTTTCCTTCTATTTGGCTTTATTGATTACTTGCTACATGTAATAGGAATTGATTTTGAGGATTAAGACTGCTGTGGCTTTAAGTGGTTCTTAACTTTATTGGCTTTACCAATAATGAGCAAACGGGCCAACTTCTTAGACTAAAAGAAGAAGAAGAAGATAAAACTAATCAAAATCAAGTTGGAAAACGGTTTCCATTTACTTACCAATTAGGCATTGCTTTCCATGCATTTAGTCTTAGACACCCTTTTTTTTTGTGTAATTTTACTTTTAAAAATAATTAGACACTTAGATCATTTTTAACTTTTCATTTTATGCAACTATTTGGTTAATGTTGCATTAAAGAAAGTTCTAAAAGAATTGCTTCAAAAAAAAAAAATTCTAAAAGAATGAAAACGCAATCAGAGTCCATTTTGTTCCTTCTTTTTTTTGGTATTCAACTTGTTAGACACGTTCTTCATAATTTATGCATCTAAAGGAAAGTTGAAGCGAGCAATAAGGGCGGGTTAGCAAAACACCCCATCTAATTTTGCTGTGCGTGGCGTGTACTCAATAATGGGGGATGGTCCAACTCCATTAAATGCCATCTTGCTAAGACAACGGGTAGATGAAGCATCAATGACAAAAAAACACTTACCATATGAGTGATGAAGTTCAAAGATTTGAGAATTATAACTAACACGAAGTTAATACTAATTTACAAGAATGAATTTTTTTCAGAAAACAGTGAGTACATTTGGTGGAGTTCTAGCACATATAGCTTACCATTTTTTCGGGAATTTTTTTTCTTTTTGACACATGTGCTATTTCTTTATTTGGTTGACTGAGACAATTGACATCACTCCATATGAGTTACTTAAAGTGGAATTAATTAATCCAACGTGAATACTAAAAGCTGTAGGTCACACTATAGTAGGGGCGCAGTCAAGTCAAAATGAGTTCGAATAATACATTACTCGAGCTTGTCGACCTCTTGAAATTCGTACTCGAGTTAAAATTTGATTTTGTTTTACCTTACTCAATATCGAACTCATGTAAATTGAGTTTAAAAAATATAGATTCATATTTATAATTTTAAACAAAAGACAAAATAAATATTTTAGATTGATAAATAAAAAATTAATATATATGTATATATATATATGCGTGTGTGTGTGTGTAAAATTTGATTAAATTCGACAAACTTTTGAAATTCACATATTAAACTTAGACTGGAACTCATTAAACAATTCAAGCTCTGTTGATTGCTATGTTTCCAGAATCGGACCGTGTATCGACTCGGTCGAGCTCAGGGGTCAATGGGTTCAATCGGGTTCGATCAGAGTTGAACCGGATGACGTCATAAATAAAATTTATTTAAAAATTAAAATATTATATGTAAAATACCTAATAACATGTTAATATTAATAAATGTATATTCATATATATTTGATGTTTCAAATATATTTAACAAGAAAATACAAAGAAATTAGAACAATCAAGTAGCAATTTATATTATTTAATGAGTATTAACGAGTTTAGAATTAAAATTATGGACTTAATTGAAAAATAACACCAAATTTTAAGACAACATTTATAAAGTATGAAATATTTGAGGTATATTAATAATTTTTAACAACTTAGGGGTCAAAACATAATATTAAAAATATTTTGACCTTTCAAAAAGAAGACAAAAAAAAGAAACCCAGTTCTTTTTTCCCGTCAAACCCGATTTTTGACCTGATTTGACCAAGTTTTTAATTTTTCGATTTTTAGAGTTAACTCGAACCAGACAATTGGCCGATTCCCGATTCGACTGACCGGTCCGGTCCCGAGTTTAAAAACAGAGGTTGATAGAGCTCGTACGTGATTGACTGGATTCAAGCTTGGCAGGATTTGAAACTTGACTTCTTTACACTCTTGCACTGTAGCATACTAAGGATGGCAATGGAACCGATTGCTTGCGGGATCAACACGAGAAAATGTGAGGTGGAGGATGAAATAGGGGAGTTTTTCTCCCCCAACCTTTAAACGAGATAGAGGCAAGAGCATCCATCATCGTTCCATCTCCTACCTCGCCTACCGCTTATAATTTTAATAGTTTATGTATGATATATAAAATATATAATATAATTATATATATGCAATATGAAATTTTTCTGTGATAAAATAATGTCATCCTTCTTGTTAATTTTTTTTGTAGTCAAATGATAATTTTGTTATGTTAGTTTACTTTTTATTTTATCATGGCATATAATTTGTTAAAAAATATTAATAATTAATTTAAATTTTATGTAATGTCAATTATAGAGAAACAGATTCACAAGATAAGAAATGATTTGTCAACTTTATCTCAGTTAAACGTTTGTTTGGATTGCGATTTATTTGCCAAAATATATTTGCTTACATCATCATTACAATTTTTAACATACCTTTTTATCTTCTCAATTACCTTTTTATCTCACATACATCACATCACAAAAAGTGCTACAGTCAAAATATCTCTAATAATTCACAATCCAAACAGGAGCAATCGTTTGTGTTAAATGTTCAAGAAAATGAGTAATAAATTCATTACTAGCGTTACACATGTATAAAATTAAAATTAGCACTGGAGCAATCGTTGGGACGGAAACACCCGCCGGGCGAGGCAGAAGGCAGGGCAGCATCGATAATAATGGAGGACGAGGCGAGGGACGGGGGAGCTTTTGGGTGATGGCTCCGCCATCCCGTTGTCATCTCTATACCGTACAGTGATGAGGTTTGCAAGAGCAAATAGTAACCACAGTGAAAGTAGGGCGATGCCGGTGACTTTTTTTTTTTTTTTTTTTTTGATAAGCCTAAGAGTTGCAAAATCCAAGCAGAACCCTCCAACCTCGAAGTTAAAAAGCCTAGGAATCTGACTCACCCATCCGTGCAAAAATAAATTAATGTGAGAAATTGACAGCACGGAACGAACAGTAAAAACAAGAGCGCTAGAGAAGAGGAGGGAGCAATGTACGAAAGCAACAACTTCTCTCCACCCACTAAAACACACAGTCCTCTCCTCCCCCAGCCTCAAAAGCCAAGATAAATACGGAGTAGAAAGGAGGTGACGCCAACCCTGAATCCTCAGCCTCAGGGAAG